ATCAGTGCTGCCATCCCAGGAATCAGTCTGGCAAGCCTTTGTTGCACTTCCTCCATCGCCAGAACATCTTTTCTCAGATAAGGAGACCAACACTGCGCTCAATATTCCAGGTGTGGTCTCACTAGAGCCCTTTACAATTGCAGCAAGATATTCTTGCTCCTGTACTCTAATCCTCTCACTGTGAAAGCCAACATACCATTTGCCGCCTTCACCGCCTGCTGTACCTGCATGCTTTCTTTCAGAGACTGATGTGTGGGAACACCCAGGTCTCATTGCACCTGCCCCTTTCCCAATCTATCACCATTCAGATAATAATCTGCCTTCCTGATTTTGTTACATTACACTGCATCTCCAATGCATTTGCCCACTCACTCGGCCTGCCCAAACCACACTGAAGCATCGTCCCCACTAATCACTCGCAAAATGTCACGTTTATTCCGGCTCTTCTTTCCTATTTGTCAATTAGTTTGCTTCCCACATCAGTACAATACCCACAATCCCCGTGCTTTAATTTTACATGCTAACCTCTGTTGGATACTCTCTTTCCTGCTTAGAATAACCGGTTGTCAATAGGTAAAAATCTGAGGATTTTTTATTAAGAAGCAGTGACAGTTATGTTCTGGTTGCCGTGAATAAGCGTGTAACTGCATCGATGCAAAGTTCGGCTTGCATTTTTAAATATTAAGACGCTGATAGCTTTTATCTAATTACAATTCGTTTTTAAATGTTGTCTTGACGTGTTCAGTGCGCTTCTGAATGAGCTTTCTCTATTCTGGTTGGGCACAAGCCAGGGTTTTCCATAAGATGGTGGGGGTGTTTGAGGTTTTCAGGGTTGCTTTGAGGACATCCGTAAAACGTTTCCACTGTTTTTCTGGGAGTGTCTTGTCATGACCAAGCCCCGCGTAGAGCATTTGCTTCTGGGGTCTGGTGTCAGGCAAACGGATAACATCCTAGCAAGAGGAACTGGTTTTGGATGACTAACACCTCACTGCTTGCTGTGTTGGGCTGGGGAAGATGGTGCTGTTGGACCTCCTGTTGTGTAGTTTTCTCGATCCATCGTGTAATGAGGGCAACTGATAAAATTCCAGGAATCTGGAATGTCAGTAATGCTTAACTATAACAGTGGAATTAATTCCCCTTCCTCTGCACACACTGACTTATCCATGTCCTGAACAGGAATCTCAGACCTTAGCCAATTGAGCAATCTGAGAGGAGGAAAGCAGGATTGCTGTTTTTAGTGACAATATTATAATGTTTGGTTGAAGTCTCACTATAACATGATTCCATTTGTCCAGGTTAGTAGGAATTTAAAACCCTGATGAGGAATTGCATTTTTTGCCCCACTTGTGGGACATGGGCATCGCTGGTTGGGCCAATATTTATTGCCCCTGGAGAAGGTGGTGGTGAGCTGCCTTCTTGAACTGCTGCAGTCCATGTGCTGTAGGTAAACCCACGGTGCCCTTAGGGAGGGAGTTCTAAGATTTTGACCCAGTGACAGTGAAGGAACGGTGATACCTTTCCAAGTCAGGATGGTGAGTGGCTTGAAGGGGAACTTAGAGGGGGTGGTGTTCCCATGTATCTGTTGCCCTTGTCCTTCTAGATGAAAATGGTCAATGGTTTGGAAGGTGCTGTCTGAGGATCTTTGAATTTCTGCAGTGTGTCTTGTAGATGGTACACACTGCTGCTGCTGAGCATCGGTGGTGCAGGGGATGTGGTGGCAATCAAGCGGGCTGCTTTGTCCTGGATGGTGTTGAGCTTCTTGAGTGTTGATGGAGCTGCACCCATCCAGGCAAGTGGGGAGTATTCCATCACATTCCTGACTTGTGCCCTGTAGATGGTGGACAGGCTTTGGGGAGTTTGGACGTTACTCACTGCATTTGCTAGCTTGCTTGCTTACTAGCCTTTGTCCTGCTGTTGTAGCCACTGTGCTTGTTTGATGAGTCCAGTTGAGTTTCTAGTCAGTGGTAACTCCAACGATGTTGATAGTGGGGAATCACTGGTTATGCCATTGAAGGTCAAGAGGTGATGGTTAGATTCTCTCTTATTGACTACTTCTTCTAACTTTCAACATGAATTGACATAGTGGTAATGTCACTGCAATACTAATCTAGAACCTCAAGTTGATGTCCTTGGGATGTAAGACTGTGGCAAGTAGCGAACTTTGAATTCAGTGAAAAAAAAGTACTGGAATAAAAACTGGCATAATGGTGACCAAAAAACCACCATCGATTGTCTTAGAAACCCATCTGATTCATTATATTAGTTAGGGAAGGAAATCTGCCATTCTTACCTGGTCTGGCCCACATGTGACTCTGGACCCAGAGCAGTTGGGTTGACCCTTAACGGGGATTAAAGGATTAAACAGCAATTGGGATGAGTAATAAATACCCATTTCCTGTGAAGGAATAAAGAAAAGCATCAAATGCTTTATGTGACACTTTCAAGTTAGTGATATGTTAGTTATTGCTCGTTGTGCCCAGTGTCATTTCTGATTCAATTCAACTGTATTTCATCATCTTACCTATTTTTTTATTCTTCTCTAGGGCGGTTACCCGGTTTGGGAGGATTTCATTTCCAAAACTACAAAGCTGCAATCACACTTGAGGTATTAATTTATTAGTCCAATTTGGCAAAAGTAGGTTTTTTTTTGCTGTGGTAATTTGCTCTTTACCTGATCTAGACAGGGTTTGGGTGCACAGGTTCCCAATTATCATCATTCAGTTGATCATTTGAGAGTGCCAGCAGGCCATTCAACTTGTGAATATGACACAGTGGCTCAGTGATTAGCTCTGCTGCCTCTCTGCGCCAGCGTCCCGGGTTCACTTCCACCCTTCGGTGACTGTCTGTGTGGAGTTTGCACGTTCTCCCTGTGCCTGTGTGGGTTTCCACTGGGTGCTCCGGTTTCCTCCCACAGTCCAAAGATGAGCAGATTAGGTGGACTGACCATGCTAAATTGCCCATTGTGTTCAGGGATGTGCAGGCTTTGGTGGGTTA